AATTGAACTTGATTTAGATGTTATGTGAATAACATGTTCAATGATATTTATAATTATAGGGCATGTATAAATCTTCCAAAGATGGATCATGACTTATAATTATTGAAATCAACATATTTGTTTTGATGTTGTATATCCAAAGATATACATGCATGTTTTAAGTGAGTTTATTATCCAATAAAATATGTTTATTTAACATCATTAGAATTTGTTGAAATGTATTCAAATTTTACTTAAAGGTGAACTTTGATACATGTTTAAAGATGATTAGTTTGAATCTATGAAATTTATTCAAAGCATTAACGTATGAGCTTGTTTTAAATGTTTGTGGTTATTAGCATGTTGTTATAAACTTAGACGTGACATTGATAATGAATGAGAAACTTGTAACCACTACACAGGAGCATTATAGAAGATGAAAGGTCCAACAAGTTGTCTTTGAAACTTATTAGAAAGGACCATATATAAGTTGATTTGCAAAGTTTCTCGAAAGTTGTGGTAAATGTGAACAATATTCTATGTCTGACACACCGCAACAAAATGATGCTGTTGAAAAACAGAACGTACTCTCATAGACATGATCAGGTCAAAATGTTAAATTATAGTAATGTATCATTATTATTGTGGACGTACACATTAAGGACCGTTGCGTATTTACTTTAATAGGGTTCCTAGCAAGACAATTTCTAAAACTCCTTATAAAGTGTAGTCAGGAAGGAAACATAGTTTAAAGTATCTTCGTGTTTAAGGCTATCAAGAAAAAGTAAAGGTGTATAATCTACATCAAAATGGTATAGATTTTATTGTTCGAATCATAGTATGAGTATAATCGAGTCTGGTAATGATCAATTTATTGAAAATAGTCAGTTCAGTGGGAGTGAAAAATCACATAAAGTTGATATTATGGAGACTTGTGGAGAATCTTCTTCACCTAAAGAATCTCATCATGTTGGTGTCCATATAGTTGTGTTACTGTGATACAACATAAAGAGACAATAAATAATTATTCATTTTGAGCATTGATTATGATCCAGTCACGTTCATACAAGTCATGGAAAACTGCAAAGAAGGTTCTCAGGTACTTACAAGTGCACCAAAGATTACAGACTCACATATAAAAGGTCAGATCACCTTGAAATGGTTAACTACTCGGATTTAAACTTTGTAGGATGTGTGGACTAAAGGAAATTCATATTTAAGAATGTTTTCTCTCGACTGGAGGAGAAATATCGTGGAAAATTTGAATTTGTGGCATGCTTTGAGGCCATAATTCAATTATTGTGGTTGCATAATTTTACCTTGGGGCATGATATTGTCGACACTATAACTAGGCCACTAAGAATTTATTGTGATAATTCTGCAAATGTCTTCTTATCTTAGAATGATAAGTATTTAAAGGGTGTTAAACGCATGATTTTGAAGTACTTATTACCAAGAGAAGAAATGCGGAAAAGAAAAGTGTCATTTGAACACATTGATACATATTTAATGATAACGGATCCGTTAACTAAATGGTTTGTTGCCCAATACATTTTTGGCCATATAGAAAGGATGGACATTATGTAAAAGACCTTGTTAACATTATAGTATGATTGGTATATATACAATTATAATTTAATATTTGTAATGTATGACACTTGTGAATTCAGTTAAAGTTATATTTCTGCTTAGTTTTGTTATCCATATTATGTTGTATACATTATTGTTAATATGCGACGAGAAATGTATCTTTGAAGAGATATGAAAGACACATTATTGTATCACTTAAGATTATTCGAATTGGATTGATTCGTCATACATGGAAGGAGTCAAGTTGATGAATAATTTGTGACCATCATGATTCAATCATTTCACTTTATTAAAGACTAGCGTTCACGTGTCCATCTGTCCACTTTTTTAATGCACACACATAAAAATATAAATGATATTTTTTATTTAATTTTAATTTAAATAGAAATTATGTAGGAAGTTATTAGTAAGAAGGTGATAATAATGGTTCAATGGAAGTTATTGTATAATTAATGGTATACAAATTAATAAACTTTCACATAACCATCAGTTGTTAGAAAGAGAAGTTAAAGTTTAAAATAAAAACTGAAAAGAATATATTTGGAAGAAAAAATGTTACACCAAAATCATGTTTTCCCTTTATATATAGGTATAGATAATGATTTAGTACTTTTAATGAATGGTGCACAATTATGGTATAAGATTGAAACATCAAGTTGTCACATGAGTCAAGTGAGAGATTGTAGGATTAATTTATTAATCCATTAAAAATGACTCATGTAAATGAAATTTTGGCTTTAAATGAAAGATGTCTTAATGTGATGATTGATTAGACTTGATGATAAATAAGTCAATGGGGTTTTTATTTTAAATTTCAAAATAAATTTTAAATCCTTATTCTCTCTTCGTGGCTATTAGGATATGACTGTTGAGATATGATATGACTTTGAAATAAGATACATATAAATAGACACCATTAAGAAAGTAACAACAACAATTCTCATTCTTTCTTGTTATCCCATAAACAAAGAAATAAAAATATTTTAATCATCAAAGATACAGAAAAGAAGAAGAAAGAGAGGAGAAAATCATTCAAATCAAAGATAAAGAACTAGATAATTAAAAATAAGATTGAAAACCAAAAAAAAATCGGCGTCGAGGATCTGAATACATTTTCAATATTTTTTTATAAAAATTAAAATACCATAAAAATCATGATATTAAAATTCATTATATGAAATTTTCGTAACAAATGTAACACATTCTTCAAGTAACTAAATATTAATTGATGAGATATTTCATACCAATATATTTAAATACAATGCATGGTAGAATTCAATTTTATCTTGGATACACTATTCTCAATGTGAAATGTATGAAACAAATTTTGACCGGTATAAAATGTTCCCATTTTCTACCATAGTATCACAATGTGAACGTAAATGACAATATCGATTTTGGTAACCAATATTGAGCCTTTTTGTTTTGACTTTTTTTAAAGTTATTTTTGTAGAAAAACATAAAAGAACTTATAAAATTTTTTTTATAAAAAAGTTAAGTAAAAATTTGATTTAAATAGTTATTATTAAAATGTTATTTTAGATATTTTTATTTTTGTTTTTTAAATAAATTTTTTTGAATAAATTGTAATTTTGATTATGTTTTGATTTTTAATAATGTATGTTTATGTTATAAAATTTTAAAATTAATCTTTTAATTTAAAAAAAATTGAATATAAAAACTTGTAATATTTTAAAAATAGTTTTATAAAATGCATTTTTTAAAATAAAAAGAAAAAATCCAGTTTTTAAAAATAAAATAAATAGATCCATAAAATGGACTAACTAATATAATTAAAAAAGTCAACAAAAACAGAAAAGACCTTGTGAATTAGTGTGGTGTTTAAATTTAAATGTATTTAAATAAAAATTGCAAATCATTTAAAAACCAAAAACCATAAAAGAAATCTTAAATATTATTAAAAATATTTTAATCTTATTTTTCAAAAATCGTTAAGTTTAGATAAATTAATTTCAAGTTCATTATTGAAAACCTATTAAAATTAAACCAAACTTCATATATAATTTTATATATTTTTATTAGTATGATTGATTATGTTGATTTATTATTTGATAATATTTATTTTTTAAATATTATTTATTAATTTGATTTAATTCATTTAATTTTATTATTTCATTAATTTTAACTATAATCAATCATCATTATTTTTGTAATATTAAGTTTTAATATATTATATATTACATAAAACTTATTATATTAATAATTCTTTTTTATAATTCAAATATTTAAAAAACAATTTAAACCAAATAGCATAAAATTGAATCATGTAAAATCTATTTTTTTTAATCATCAATATCAATTCAAACCACAATGTCAATATATATAGTAAACCATATTAATTTATTTGGATTTTAAGAGAGGTTTTGTTTGAGTTAGTGGAATATCTCACGCTTCAAACCAAAGCAATGTAGTTTGATGAGGTGGAGTAATCTGACAATGACATAGCACGTGTGGACTGTGTCACCTTCTTCATGACACTTGTCAATTAATGCTCACAAAACTTCTACTTGTATATTGAAATTTGTGGTGACAACAAATTCATCACATTCATCCACAAAATTTTTATCAAAACTTCAAAAATATCTAATAATCTAAATATCAGAGTTTTACTCTTTAAAATTTTAAAATATTTGTATATAGGTGAACACATTAAATATACTATTTTAAACTATTTTTTAACACATTAAAATATTTGTATATAGGTGAACACATTAAATATTTTAAATACACTATTTCTTATGTGTTAAAATAAATTTAATTTGCATATGAATAGGTAAAATGATTTTACAATGTAAAAAATTATAATTATTCAATCATTATAAACATTTTACTTTTATCTTAATAGTTTTTTATATCATACTAATAGTTGGTTGTTGGTTGTGATTTTATATAAGTCTAAAGTATTTTAACAATAAAAAATTAAATACATGTTTAAAATGGCCGGAGATAATATTAATTAATATAATAAAAAAAATAAAGAAAAACTAAATTATACGTTAAAAAATAGTAAAATTAATAATTAATTGATTCAGTAGTGATTGATATTGAATTTAATAGAAAAGATCATTGTTCGATCTCTTATAATTACGTTCAAGAGAGCTAAAACCATTTCATATCAGAACTGATTTCTAAACCGAATTAATTCATCTAATGGATCAGAATATAAAAAATAATAATAATAATAATAAAAAAGAAAGAAAAAAAAGGTAAATTGTGGTAGTGGGCTTCAAAGACTTAGGAGCCAAGAGGGGATAGAAATTTCATATATAAATAAGTAGGTGGTATAGCTCTATCTTAACTTGTTATGCTCATAATCTTCTGAACTCTCAAGTTTGTTCATCTTTCTCTCTCAATATCAATTTCATTCCTCCATTTTTAAGGTATCATTTCCAACATTTGGCAAAACAATAATGGGAAGACAACCTTGTTGTGACAAAGTTGGTTTGAAAAAAGGTCCATGGACAGTAGAAGAAGATAAAAAGCTCATCAATTTCATCCTCACTAATGGCCAATGTTGCTGGAGAGCTGTCCCTAAGTTAGCAGGTCTCCTCTCATTCCTTACATGATTTTTCGCTGTCTAAATCGCAGTTTTAAATTGCAGTTGCAGTTGCAGTCGATTTACAGAATCACAGCCGAAGTCACACAGATAACTTTATGATTAATGTGATCAAAACATTAAACATAAATTGAATTTTTTTTAGTATGTGATTTATGAGTTTCAAGTTTATTTACATTTTTGACCCTAGCTAAAAATTGTTATGAAATTCGTGCAGGACTGTTAAGGTGTGGAAAAAGTTGTAGACTTAGATGGACAAATTACTTGAGGCCTGATTTAAAGAGAGGACTTTTATCAGAATATGAGGAGAAAATGGTCATTGATCTTCATGCTCAACTTGGCAACAGGTTCTTTTCTTTCACACTATTCATTACTGTGTTTCCTCTGTTTTTTTTTTCTTTCTGTTCTGCATGCTTTGTAATTAAATCTTAAAACCTTAATTAACTTGTTAACTAAACGACAATACAGTAATCTTTTTAAAATATTTAACTAGGTTTATCTAAGTTAATCATTTAAACATTGTTTAATCATGCCAAATACAATACTTTAATAGAAATTTAATCATTTCTATAGTACACGCTCTTCATGTTGCACTTTGTTTATTCAGCACAAAAAGAAGACATGGTCCCATAGTATAATATATAATAATATATAATAATATATAATATAATTAAAAGACGTATAAAAATTGTAGACCAAGTTTTTTTTTCCTTTTTTGTTATCTTTAGTGTTTTTTTTTTAAAGTAAAAGAAAAGAAAATATTCATGATTGCTGTTTTATAAAGTTGACTCCAAATGTGAAACGTAATATTGAATGAGTAATGTTAGCCATGTTTGTCTTATAGTTTAATGTTTCTTTAACTTGAATGACATTTGAAAAAGATAACTTTCTTAATGACCATGAACTCATCATTTAATTTTTTTTATAAAATAGAATCACTTTATTGATTACCAACGGAGAGATTTCAATACATCAGTATTACGAGTCTGAAATATGTCGGTGTCGTGTTTGATATCTGATATATATGTCATATGATTATAATGTAATATTTTTTTCTTACGCAGATGGTCAAAAATTGCTTCTCATTTACCTGGAAGAACCGATAATGAGATTAAGAATCATTGGAATACACATATCAAGAAAAAACTTAAGAAAATGGGAATTGATCCGGTTACACACAAGGTATTATTCACTAATGAAATAGACCAAACTCAAACAAAATCTGAACAACATCAACAAGAATCTTCCTCTATTGAACATGACACAAACGTTGTTGAATCCGAGAATGACAAAAACAAAGAACCACAAAAACCAGAAACTTCATTTGACTCATCAACCATAACTGAAGAACATGACCAAATTATGACACCATTTTTTGACTCATTGGAACTAATGAATGAGTTCTTAATTGAAGAAGTTCCAATAGTTACAAATGTTCCTTCATCTTCATCAACTACAACTATAACTACAACATCATCATCTTCTACAAGTTCATCTAATTTTCTTGAAGACTTGTTGCTACCTGATTTTGATTGGTCACATGATAATAATAATATTGAAAATAGTGATAATGATAATAATGATATTAATATGGCATTATGGGATGATGACTTTATTAGAAGTTGGGATTTTGTGATTAATGATGATGATAATGGTGACAGAAAGCAAGTATTTGATGCTGCTCAAAATCAGTATCCAAGAGTGGTCATGGATTCAGAATCATGGGCCTATGGATTGTTTTGATATTAATATATTTATTTTTAACAATGATCATAGTATTTACATATGTAATGTTCTTGTAGGTTGTTTCAAAGAATAAAGAGTGAATTAGGATTCTTAGAAAATAGACACTTTTGTGTTTTGTGTTTGGAAGAATTTTAATGTTTACCCATTTTTATTTTCTAAACTTTATATATTATGATAAAAGTGAAAAAAAATAATTATCTATAAGTAAACGTGTCGATTTGTTGTTTTTCATTCATAGTCATGGCATACTTGAATTTTTATGTCACTAAAATAATTATTATAGTCATGGCATACTTTAATTTTTTTATATACTTTATTGGTATAGTGGTAGTCTTATTATTGTATTGATACTGCAATTGATGAAGGGTGTTTTACAACCTTTATTACAATCTATGTAGGGGTATGGTAGTGATGAAAGTTTTAACGAGTATTGAGAATCTTTTGATTATAAAAAGGTGTTTAAGAAAGTCATGACATGAGTTTACTATTGTCAATATTTGTTCTCTTTGAAATTGTGGTGGTCAACTTTATGGAATCGGTTGGTTGTTCTGATTAATGATGATGAGGGGAACGCATAGTGTGTGAATGTGAATGACGATTTTAATTCTATTTGATCGATTGAGGAAAGAAGTAGTAAGGTAATTGTTGACCAAATGGATAATGACTCTTATTTTAATCACATCATTGAAGACAATTTTTTGGTTGATTTACCCTTGTGTGGGAAAAGATTCACGTGGTATGAGTCGAATTGCATTGGATCGTTTTTTATTATCGGATGCTTGGATTTCTTTTTGGCCGAATTGCATTCAGGTGGCTCTTTCTCACACTATTTCTGACCATTGTCTGATTCTTATGACTATTGACGAAGAGAATTGGGGTCCTAGGCCAACGAGAATGTTAAAATGTTGGACAGATTTACCAGGTTACAAGGAGTTTGTGAAGGAATAATGACTATCTTTTCAAGTGGATGGTTGGGGAGGTTTTGTGCTGAAACAAAAACTAAAGCTGATTAAGGGTAGTTTGAAATTATGGCATCAAAATCATACTCCAAATTTAGAAGGAAAAATAAAGGCGATAAAAGATCGTATCTCTTTCTTAGATATCAAAGGAAATGAGTATGATCTAGAGGGGGGAGGAGTTGGGAGAGTTACAATATTTATCGGCGTAAATTATTTTTTATCTAAATTACATTCAAGTATCTAGTGGAAAAAATCTAGATTACTTTGGGTAAAGGAGATAGATGCAAATTCAAAATTCTTTCACGGTATTATATCTTTGAGGAGAAGGTTGAAATCTATCATCTCAGTTTCAGTTAATGATGTAAAGGTAAAGGGTGTCAAAGGAGTGAGGAGTGTCATTTTTGACCATTTTCGGGCGATAACGGTTGGTCAATCAGGGATACAAGATATTTCTTTTAAATCAATCACTAGGGAGGAGGGATCGATTTTGAATCTACCTTTTTCATAGGTTGAGATTAAGTAGGCAGTTTGGGATTGTGATGGTTTTAAGAATCCTGACTCGGATGAAATTAATATTTTCTTTATCAAAGACTTATGGGACATATTAAAAGATGACTTGATGCGTTTTTTTTGAAAATTTTCACCGTAATGGCAAGTTGACTAAAGGCATTAACAATTGTTTTATTGCTTTGATTCCCAAAGTTTAGAGTCATTGGCGTTTGTCGAATTTTTGACCTATTTCTTTGGTTAATTGTTTGTATAAATTTTATCTAAGGTTCTTGCTAATAGGATGAGACATGTGATTGGAAGTTTTATTTCTAAGTCTCGATCAGGTTTTGTTAAAGATAGGCAGACCATGTACGACATTCTTATAACTACGAAATGGTGGACAATACACGTAGCTTGAAAAAAAGAATTATTATTTTTTAAGGTTGCTTTTGAAAAAGCCTATAATTTGGTGGATTAACAGTATTTGGATGATGTTATATATAAAATAATTGTTTGACTCTATGGCATAATTGGATATTATAGTGTATTACTACGGTAATAACTTTTGTGCTTGTGAACGGGAACCCAACTTATAAGTTTAAAATGGAAAGAATTCTTCGTCAAGGTGACTCGCTTTCCCCCTTTCTCTTTTTAATAGTAGTTAAAGGGTTACATATTTTGATGAATGATGTAGTAAAAAAGGAATGTTAACAATATATGAGGGTTAGGGCCCAAAATGTTGTTACTGTTTATCATTTACAATTTGCGGATGATACGCTATTGGTGGGGGGTTAAAAGTTAAGCAAATATTCGAGATTTGAAGGTGGTGTTGATTCATTTTGAAGTTATATCAAGATTAAAAGTTAACTTTCATAAAAGCATGTTGTTTTTGGTCAACGTTGTGGAATCTTGGTTGCATGAGGCAACGATGGTTATGAACTGTAAGCACGATCGACTACCTTTTTTTTATTTTGGGTTGCCTATTGGTGGAGATTCTAAGAAGCTTAATTTTTGTTATCCTGTCATTCATTATATCAAAAGAAGACTTCCATGGTGGAAGAGTCGATTTCTCTCTATGAGGGATCTTTTGATTCTTATTAAGTATGTCATGTCCCATTTCGGTCTACTTTCTTTCCTTCTTCAAGGCCCTCTCAAGTATCATATCTTCTCTTGAATCTATTTTTAATGTTTTTTTTTTCTGTGGAGGGAGTGAGGAAGTGAGAAAACTTTTCGGGATTAAATAGAATATTATATGTTTGAAAAAAGTAAATGGATAGATCCTTAGCTTTACGGTACGTCATTGAAGGTAAGATTTAGTAATATGTTTGATTTAGTTGAGAATAAAAGGGCAACAATAGCATAAATGAAACGAGTTAGGGTGGTGGAGAACAATGAGGCATGGAAGTGGCGTAGGAGCTTGCTTGCGTGGGAGAAGGAGTTAGTGGGGAGTGTATTGAGCGTTAGCCTCAATTGTTTTGAAGGTGAACATAGAATATCATTGGGTTTGGATTTTACATCCCTTCTTGTAACAAAATGAACAATGCTTATAAAAATTTGTCTTAAGTTGACATCAACAACAATCAACCTAACTCCCTATTTTTATAGTCGAAGATTGTGCAACTTAAGGTATCAATTTTTGTCTGGTGGTTGTTTCTGAGTGTAGTCCGACTAAGGACAACCTGGCAAGGAGGTGGATTCTTTCCATGAACGATAAAAAATGTGTGACAAATTATGGCGTGGATGAAGATAAAGATACTTTGTTTGTAACATTTATTTTTTTGGTAGGTTATGGTCTATTATTCTTAACTAGTTAATGTACTCTACGACATCCCAAGGAACAATTTAGGATCATTTATTGCAGTTTGATGGGCTTGGGGTTTTTCGGAAAATTTTCGTTTGGTTTTTAACACTATTTGGTTCGCGATTGTATGGGTTATCTGGAAAGAGCGAAATATGCGTATTTTCTTGAATAAAGCAAAGTAATTGTAGACGTTATTTGAAAAAGTAAAGCTTTAATCATTTTGGTGGTTAAAGGCAAAATATGTTTCTTTCGATTATGATTACCAGTTTTGGAGGTTAAATCATTTATCTTGCTTATCAACGGCTATGTAGACCGCTTTTTGCTGATTTTTTCAAAAGTTGGATTATAATCTTGAATTTTTTTCTTGTCATTTTCAATATATATTTCATTTTGCGTTTTTTAAAAACACATTTATCGAAAAATTTAAAAGTAGAAATAGTTTTAACATAACATAAATCTGACTCTATAATTTCTCTTTTTATCTCTGGTCTAAATTTTCCCTCATTCCACTAATTATTTCAATGCTAAGGGTGTGTTATAGAATGAGCTTCCTTTTTCACGTTTTAAATTTTTTAGAAGCTATTTAAAAACTTATAAAATGTATTTTGGATTCTACTCCCTCTGTTTTTTTATAAGTCATTTTAGAATTTTCACACGTATTAAATAAAGTAATCATGGTTGTATGGGAAAGAAAAATTGTGAAGGTTTTTACCATATTATCCTTCATTAATTGCATGGAAAAGAGAAATTGTGACGGTTTTTACCATATTGTCCTTCAAAAGTTGCATGAGAAGGATAAAGTTAAATATTTGAAAGAAGAGATGATAATAAATATTTAATGGTATAATAGGAAAATTAATATTAATGATTGCTTAGTATTGCAAAACAACTTATATTTTGGTACAAAATTTTTTTTCCAAAACGACTTTTAAAAAAAATACGTAGTAACATTTAGAGTATGTTTTTTTAATATTCGGATTTATTGCAATTAACAAAATAAAAATCTCCGTTGAATGTTAATTTTCATTTACAATGTGAAACATCACTAACCTATATATGAGATGAATTCTAAAAATTAAAAAAAAAGAAAGAAATATGTTAGTTATAAGCTTAACTAACTTACAATTCATTATTAATTCATCAATTAATCACACTTAAAATTAACTAACTAATACATGCATTTAATATTCCTTCTTAAGTTGAAAGATATTTATTGCAAATTCTCAATTTAATTATAAGGTGATGCAACAAATATCTCGGTAAGACTTAAGTGAGAGGATCGACTAGCTGATGTTTGGAAGGTATGTGAATCAATTTCACAAAGTCAAAAGCTACATATTATCTAATGAAATGATTACCTCTTTCATGACTCATGGGATTGTCAACCATCTGAATAGGTGATGTATTGTCACAAAAATCTTTGCATGAAGGAACATCAATCCCAAAAGCTCTTAAACATTGTTCTAGCCATAACAATTCAGAGGTAACTGAAGCTAGAGTCCTGTATTCTGCCTCTGCAGATGATCTTGACACATTTGCTTGTCTTTTGAACCTCCATGATACCAAGGATTCACCAATGAAGATGCAAAATCTTGTGGTTAATTTTCTAGTTGTGAAGCAGCTTCCCCAATTTGCATCACAACAAGCAGTGATATGCATAGATGAATTTGAAGAGAAAATAATTTCTTGACCTAGTGCTCCTTTCAGGTATTGCAGTATAATATGAATTCGACTCATATGAGGTTTTT